GATAAAATCAACTAAAATCTTTGATCAAATCAACTAAAATCAATGATTAAATCAACTAAAATCAGTGATAACAATCAACTAAAATCATTGATTAAAAATCAATGATAAAATAAACTAAAATCAATGAATAAATCAACTCAAATCAGTGATAAAATCAACAAAAATCAATGATAAAATCAACTAAAATCTTTGATAAAAATAAACTAAAATCAATGATTAAATAACTAAAATCAATGATAAAAATCTACAAAAATCAATGATAAAATCAACTAAAATCTGTGATAAGAATAAACTAAAATCAATGATTAAATAACTAAAATCAATGATAAAAATCAACTAAAATCAGTGATAAAAAATCAATGATAAAATCAACTAAAATCAATGATAGAATAAACTAAAATCAGTGATAAAAATCAACTAAAATCAGTGATAAAATCAGTGATAAGATCAACTAAACTTTAGTTGATCTTATCAACAAAAAATTGGTGATAAAATCAACTAAAATCTGACAAAATCAACAAAAATCAATGCTAAAATCAATGATAAAATCAACTAAAATCAGTGATAAAAAATAAACTAAATCTGTGATGAAAATCAACTAAAATCAGTGATTAAATCAACTAAAATCAGTGATAAAAAATTAACTAAAATCAATGATAAAATCAACTTAAATGAGTCATAAAAATCAACTAAAATCAGTGATAAAACTAAAATCAGTGATAAAATCAGTGATAAGATCAACAAAAGTCTGAAAAAAATTAACTAAAATCTGATTTTAAAAATCAACTAAAATCAATGATAAAAATCAACTAAAATCAATGATAAAATCATCTACAATCAGTGATAAAAATCTAATAAAATCAATGAATAAATCAACTAAAATCAGTGCTTAAAATCAATTAAATCAGTGATTAAAAAATAAACTAAAAATCAGTGATAAAATCAACCAACATCTGTGATAAAAATCAACTAAAATCAATTATTAAATCAACTAAAATTGGTGATAAAAATCAACTAAATCAATGATAAAAATCAACTAAAATCAATGATATAATAAACAAAAATCAGTGATAAAATCAACTAAAATCCGTTATAAAATCAACTACAATCAATGATAAAATCAACTAAAATCAATGTTAAAAATTAACAAATCAAATTAAAAATCTCAAAGTGCTACAGAGTGCAAATAAAATCTGTGATAAAATCAAATAAAATCATTGATAAAATTAACTAAAATCAGTGATAAAATAACTAAAATCAGTGATAAATCAACTACAATCAATGATAAAATTAACTAAAATCAATTATAAAATCACCTAAAATCAGAGATAAAAATCAACTAAAATCAGTGATTAAAAATCAATTATAAAATCAACTAAAATCAATGATAAAATAAACAAAAATCAATGATAAAATCAACTTAAATCAGTGATAAAAATCAATTATAAAATCAACTAAAATCTGTGATAAAATCAACTAAAATCAATGATAAAATCAACTAAAATCAGCTATTGAAAATCAATGATAAAATAACTAAAATCAATGATAAAATCAATGAACGTGGGTCTAACGTTACCTGCCCACTTCGCAGTGATTCAATGGACCAACTCCCCTCTCACCATCGGTTACTTTAAAACTAACGAACAAATAAAAAAACACAACATGAATGTAACGTGTAACACAACACATTATAGAAATGTAGTGTAGTAGAAAGTAATGTAAAATGTAGTGGAGTAAAAGTTGAAAGTACCAACGTTTAACCCTACTTAAGTAAAGTACAGATACATGGAAAAATGCACAATTACAAAGTATTTGTACTTTGTTAAATCCCACCTCTGATCAGCAAGCAGTAGCATCTTCTACTGATAATAACATCAGCAGATGTCTCTGTTATTCTCCAGAAGCCATAGCCTTCTTTGGGTTCTAAAGTGTGTTCTAAGTGCATGGCTGCTGTGATATATGCTGGTTCTACTGTCCTCTCTCCTCAGAGGTCTACTGTTTTGGGATCTTTGCTCTGATGATGCTGAGCCTCCTGGAGACAATCGTACTGATGTATCTTGTGGAGAAAGAGTCTGCATGTCAAAGTGGTGAGACAGACATGGGACGGAGTGTGGGACATAACTAAATTAAAACATTTGCATATGAAAAGAAGAATGAATTTCCTCTACAGAAAAAAAAAATCGTGTTACTTTAACTGTTTATGTGAATTAAGATATGTTGTAAGGTGGTTGCAGCAATGCACCAACTGAAGCTTTATTTAAAGACTTAAAACACTTCAAATGAGATCACCCAAAAATACTGAAAGACTAGTTTGTGCAAACATTTATCTTTGCAAATAATCAAAACCAAGCATGCATTTAGATGTGCTGCAAGTGTTTCAATGTGCCGTTTTGTGTTTTTCTTTCCAGACAAGAAATGGAATCGGTGTGGATGTCTGTGTGGCGTGTCTGCAGACAACATGCCAGATAAGATGACTGAGGTTAGAATTACATTTGATTTAAAAAAAAATAAAAACCTCCTTGACCTTAAAAGCAGCTATGATGACAAACTTTTATATCCCTGATAGTGAGCAGTGGAACCTCAAAGGGTGATACATTTGCTCTCCTCAGCTCTAACGCATCACTTTAAAAAAGGCTGCACAAAAAAACTGAATGTTGTTTTAACTTAGCTGCATTTTTATTAATATTTAATGTTTTTCAGGGTTTGGGCAGCGAACTGACAGAGGAGCAACATGCTTCTGAAAAGTTCTCAGATGATCTGAAGGAGTTGGTAAAGATGGTGACTCTGGTCCTCGTCAACATGAAGGAGGACGAGAAGCCCGGCTACTGGACCAGAAATTCTCAAACCATCAACACAATTTACTTCATATTGTACGTGATAGCTGCCGGTCTGTTCTTAGGATACATACATTACTGCTGGTTTTATGCAGAAGATTGAAAGTCGTGGCTGAGGAACAAATAAGAAAAATCCTTGTTCAGAGACTGATTTAATGCTGGTTGCAAAAATATTAAAATCTATTTATGCAATTGTTTACCAAAAAATGACTTGATTTGTTAAACTTCCATGTGGCACTGTTTAATTGGAAGACCTTTGGAAACTATTGAATTTCAAACATTATGAGAATTTACTAAAATTACCTCTTAAAATTTCTTTATCTGTGACCAGATGGTACTCATGTGCTTTCATGTTATAAAAACAGGATAACTGGCTATTTATAGGTGATTAGAGTCATCATGGGCACCAGTGACCCCTGCCACCCAAAAAGGAAGAAGCAGGTAAAGATAACGAATGGATGGATAGAGTCATCACAGGAATGTAGATTTCTATGATGTCGTTCTCTCAGAAATGCACCTTTGCCTCATATGAGAAAAATTGTGGGTTTTGCAGATTGAAGGGAGAATATTAGAGTTGTATGTTAATATTAATGTAAAGTAAGATATGGCTGCTCGTTATCGAGAAAGCGTCATTTCTGATTGTTTCAGTCTTCAACTGAAATGTGTCATGTGTAATGTGTTTTTCAGTTGGTTTCAAATAAAAAGTGTATTTGTGTGTGCAATGGGAAAATTGTTCTGAATGTACAGAAATGTTAGCCCTCTCACCTCATTACAGAGTGACAAGGTTTATGGAGCAAATCTTATGGAAGGCTGCAGGAGAGGAGGTCCAGGCTGGCATGCAGGTCTGAACAGGCTCCACTCCCTGCTTGGTTCTGTTGACTACTAGTACTATAAAACCAACAATAACAGCCAGAAGTAATCCCTGAGACAGGAGGACAAGGCTGGGACACAGGTCCCGACAGAATCCTCTCCCTGATTCTTTTGATGGACTCTCAGGATCACGAAACCTGAAAAATGGCGAACCTCTAGCTGTAGTTTACACAAACCATAACGTTTTTTTTTTTTATTGTATTTATTTTACAAATCTTCAATCTACATTTTATGTACATTTATATTTATTTTGTTTACATAACATACAGAAATGTGAGAACTGAACTAAAATAAATAGAATAAACTTGCATTTGCATACAAGTGTTCAGAGATGTGGAGCTGGGCTGAGTGAAAAACAATGAACTCACGATGCAGAAACTCATCCATCTCCAGGATAAAAACCCTGCAGCTGACCGGTTCTCTGCTCAGGTTTTTACACAATACTTGTGAATGCTGTGAAGTCTTGGCTGAGCTTAAATAGATCTGTACTTCTTTAAAACTAAATTTGCTTCACACGTGAGATATAGTGACAGTAATGTCTTCCCATGGGTCTGCTGAAACACACAAATATTTTAAACGTTTCAAAAAGAGGGATAAATAGGTGATACTTATGAGTTATTAAAAGTATGTTGCTTTTCAGTATACTGTATTCCCAACTGGAGATAATTCGCTTGATGTGTAAAGTTATGATTAGTAAATTATGTTCATAGCTTGTGTCTTATATAGTTAAAATACTCTTATTGTGGGTTTTCTTAGATTTATATTAATAAAGAATATAAATATGAATTGATAATATTGGAAGTACTCACGTTAGGAAAAGTTGTTACAAATAGAAACTCAAATACTTTACTGTTTTTTTTTATTTTTTATTATCAATTTAAAAAAAAATAGTGCATTCTAGTTAACGTGAGACAAGGATATTGCGATTAAAAATGTCAGACTATTTTTAAAATCAGTTACACTCATGACAAAGGACTCAAGTATAAAGAGACATGTGTTTTATATATCAACACACCGGTAATAAAATTGACCAAATACAGTACAGCAGATTATTTTTCATAATGCTATTAACGTATGTAGTGTTACACCTACATATGAAACATTTAAAATAATGAAACTTTATTTTAAATATTCCTTAAAACATTTATATTACAGGTTCAGTATAAATTAATAAAATATTTAAAAAATGTTTTAATGGAAGTGCAGTTTTTGGTGTAGTTTTTCCTCCTGGCCTGCAGGGGGCGCGCCTCGCCTCGACGCCGCTACGTCTTTGCTCAATCAGTGACGTGGATTTTCATTGAGAGGGTCCGTGCTGCCAAAACACAACGTTACTGAGTTTTACCGTCGATTTTCTTCAAATTTATTTCTCAGACCATTCATTTAATACACATTTCTTTGTCCGTCCGTCGTAAAAACAGAACGCAGTTTTGGCTTCAGTTTTCCTACAGGTAAAATTTAATTTTTTTTAATTGTTGAAGTTACAGAGCTTCCTGTTTGCTAGTGAAACTGTTAGAATCGGTCTCTACATGCCTGTCGATGTGTTTTTATCAGGCTGCAGAATGAGTAAAAGCAAAGTGTTAAACCTGAAGGATAAAATCAGCGGGAAAGAAGCGGACTTGAGCCTGTGTAACCTCAGTGAGGTGCCAGTCAAAGAGCTGGTAAGTCAAATCAGAGAAATACACGTATCCTGTCACAGCTTGGCACTTTCAGCTGGTACTGTACGGTTTAATGGGTGGAAATATTGATAAATATCAATTTATCCTTATAATAAAATGGCCTTTTTTCTTGTTTTATTTTTCCCAACAGGCTTCATTCCCCAAAGCCACCGTCTTGGACTTGTCTTGCAACAACATTATCTCCCTTCCTGTAGGTATCACACACACACACACACAAGTCCTGCGTATAATATGAGCATAAAAACACAAAACATGGTGACATTTCCTGTTAAAGATACTCATAAACTATAAAATAAATGGTAAAAAAGTTCATCTTAAGCTATGTCAAAGCAAGGATGCAGTTTGAAAGTGTTTAATCCAGTAGTTTTCCACATATATTAATCTGTTATTCTGAAAAGCAGGTATGCACAGAATGTAAACAAAGCACTAGGCTTATCCACAAAAAACAAACATGGAAGCTCAAAGTCACATGATTTACCTACTTTAATGTGATTATATTTCCTCTATTGGTCGTATTTTATATAAAAAGGGTGAAAATCGCAACAAAAAACAAATGAAAAGAAACGGTAAATAAAAATCTAAGATGTTTGTTTAGCATATATCTTAGTGTATATCTTTTGTACTGTTTCTTTTTATACTTTATATTTTTGCTATTTTTGGGTGTAACTGGGACCTTGACTACACAGTTTTGTTCCACCTCATGTACCACATGTGATGCAACTGACAATAAAGATACTTGAACAAATCTGAGCATAAATAGACCGGTACAACATTGTACACACACTTCTCCATCCCAACCGGCTCTTTCGTCGCCGTTGTTGACCTCGTCAGTCAATTTAGCTGTTTCTGTAGGTAAACAAACACCTAGGTAGTTAACCTTATTCAGATTTTGTCATACAAATATTTAATTTAAGGTCGCATTAACTGTCAATATGTTTTTTATTCGTTCGTGCATGTTTTGAGCATGATAACTTGAAAAATAACCGAGTTACCAATTTCCATTTTTCCGTGTGGATGCATCTAGTTGTAAGAAAGGTTGCTTTTGAAAATTGGGTTGCCACGTCAAAATCGAGTCCAGAAAAACTCATCTCAAAAACTACGAACGTTCACTATTCAAATCCCTCAGTGACGGGGGACATTGGTGTACCACTCATTTATTTTGAAATCTAACAAATGTGGATTGTTTTACTCAGTTTTAAATTTGTTTTTTCAATTGTTTAATTAAAAACACATGATCCATTTCTATGCAATAGTCAAATCTGATTGATTAGCTTAAAAATTACTTTTTTTTTAATAAAGGTTTTCACATCACAGACGAGCGTTTCACTCTAAATGACTTTATTTAAAACAAGTTTAGGTTTACTTAATGTTTTCACGTTTACTTCTGAAACTATATTCTAGAGCTGTCCACTTTTATTTTATTTTTACTTTTCTCAAATGACTTTTATCCTGTTTTCTTTATTGTTTCTGTGGCTATCATTCAGAAATTATTAAGCATGGAGTGACTTATGTTTCATTTATGCAGCCAGAGTTTTGCAACCTGACCCACTTAGTGAAGCTGGACTTGAGTAAAAACCAGCTGACCTGTTTGCCAGATGACCTGGGGAACCTGATCAGTCTTCAACATCTGGACCTTTACAACAACAAGCTGATGGTTCTGCCCGTGAGCTTCTCCCAGCTCAGGGTGAGTGAACAGTCACCGTGTTTCTTAAGATCAGGAGTGATGCTGTCCAGTGGTCAAAATGGCTGGAGTTCTCATATTTTTGTTGTCGTCCAAGTCATTTTTTTTGTTTTTCTGTTCAGAATCTGAAGTGGCTCGATCTGAAGGACAACCCTCTGGAGCCCGGCCTGGCCAAAGCTGCAGGAGACTGTCTGGATGAGAAGCAGTGCAAACAGTGTGCCTCAAAGGTGATGCGGTTGTGAATCAACAGTTTTATACGTACAATTAAAACAGAAAAAAAAAAACTGAAACCACTGTGGTTTTCAGGTTCTGCAGCACATGAGAGCGATTCAGGAGGACGTTGATCGTGCACGGGAGAAACGCCTTTTAAGAGAAAAAGGTAACTAAAAAATGTCTCGCACAAAAATAACGTGAGGACGCTACAATTCTGCATCAAGATCCAAAATCATTTATTGGGGAAAAAGGTTTTGTGACTTGATGCAACTTATAAGTTCACAAGAAGTGTTTTTTAGTAGTATTTATGCTTTTTTTTTATTTTTATTTAAGTCTGCATTTTCAATTGTTTTGAATCAGTCCTTGTACATGTTTTTTTTATATCCCACTAAAGGTTTTACAATGAATCCTTAAAGCAATGGTTCCCAACCCTGGTCCTTGAGGAACACCATTTTGCATGTTTTAATTGTTTCCCTGCTTTGACACACCTGATTTGAAAGAATGGGTGATTAACAGCCTTCGGCAGAACTTGATGAAGTAATTAAATCACTCAATCGGGTGTGTTGGAGCAGAGAAACAACTAAAACATGCAGGATGGTGTTCCTCAAGGACCAGTGTTGGGAACCACTGCGCTTAAAGTATAAAAAGGTTTTTAACTGGATGGATGACTCAATGTTGTGTCTGCACACACAGAGTTGGAGAAGAAGAAGGAAGCAAAGCAGAGGGAGCGGGAGGCCCGAGAACGGGAGGCTCGTAAACGGGAGAAGGCGGAGGAGAAGGAGAAGCGGAGGAAGGAGTACAACGCTCAGGTGGCGGCTTTGGCTGTGCAGGAGCAACAGAAGAAGAAGAATGAGGAGAAGAAGAAAAAGAACGGCCAAGCTGCAGGTGAGCTCTTTAGTCACAAATGTCTGCAGCTTCAGCCTGAAGATGTTCTGATCTCACATTTTTGTTTCAGAAAATAAAAAGGCCCTCGTGGAACCGCCGCCTAAACCGAGGCGTTCTCTCATTGGCCTGATGTTTAAGCTCCTCCTCCTGTTAACGCTGGGATTGGTCGGAGTTGCTGCGGCCTGCCGACTGACCGACCTGCAGAAGGAAGACGTCTGCGTGCCGATCAACACCGCCGTTAACGACTGTTTATCCTGGGCCAAAGTGCAAGAGGGCGCGGCCAGACAGCTGCTGCAGAATCTGTCGTCTGCAGCCAAAGAACTGCTCGAATCAATGCAAACGTCCAAAAACTAAAAAAAACTAAAAGCTAAGAGTAGCAGGACTTTTAACTTGTAAAGTCGGGGGAGGGTTCTTCTTATCATGCAGAAATATTGAATCTCATTGAAATGAGCTTTTCCTCACTGTTTGTGTCGTAGGGAGGTGAAAAAAACAAGACGTGTGGACAGGGAGAGATGTTATTCCTATGGAATTGTTGTCATTCTCGTACTCTCTTTGTACTTCAGCCTGATTTAAAAATAATTTATCTTCAATGTCTCCCTGTGGACAGTTTTACACTTTGACCAGCAAACATCCAGCTGTTTAACATCAGCATTAGCCAGCTGTGTTTGAGAAATATTCAGTGAGATGTTGCAGAAACCCGTCTGTGCTGCAGCGAAGTCAAACGTGCATCGGTCTGAGCGTGAGCAGTGCCTTCACCGTCCAAGTTAAAGCTCATTTTATAACGTCAGACATGATTGAGTGAATTTTACCAAATGGTAAAAAAAAGATAACTAATTTATTTAGCCAAAGATGCAGAAGGTAATTTAGGAAGTTTTCATTTTTGTGAACCACAAATCTAAACGTTCTTGTTTCCTGCTCACAATTCTGTAATGATCACAGTCTGAGCTTTATTATTAATATTTTTATTATAAATTCTTTCAACTGAGCTTTTATTTTGATTTTTTTTTTTTTATTTAGGAAGCCAAAACCCTAAACTTTTCAGTTTGATTCATGACAAAATAGTTGAAACAAGTGAACAGATTAATTTAACTAGTTTTACATCAACAGTAACCGCAGTCTATTTTCACATCAGTCAGTTAAGTTGAACCTCACTTTGTAGGTTGGGTGTATTTTTCTTTCACACATTTATTTTAGTGTGGACATTTTTTTAAGCCTGAATTCAAGTATCAGAAGTTTTATTCCTCTTCAGACTGTTGATTAAAAAAAAAAGTTAGTTTTTTTTAGAGGTCGTGCTGTTGAGGTTGTAATGTACTTTCTGGAAAACTGACACTTTACGTTACAATCCCTAAAATGCAATTAAAAGCCAGAAGTTTACGAAGAACCAGTGCTTCAAAGGCCAAATTACAAACCTTATTTTGGTTTAAAAAAAAATAATTTTGCAGCTTTGTTCATGCTCAGACTGCAGCAGCTTTAAATAAATAGCTGCACTGAAAAAATGTGAATGTTGCGTTTTTGTTGCAAAGGACTGTCTGTTCAGAAAGTTACAAACGGTTTTGTCTTAAAAAGCTTTGTCCACGATAAATGACTAAATTTCAGTTCCAGAGTATCTGATTTAAGAGATGGAGGTTATATTATATTACCTGCTGCAGCAGATCTGCTTCAAACTGATCGCAAGCCAGAAAACTAGCTTCTGTCCTTAAATGTTAAAAGTGAGACGTAAATGAAAACATGCTGGAAACAAGCGTGCCAATAAAGTCGTTCATTAGATTAAAAACTAAAATATTTTAATATTTAGTTCCTATTTTTTAAATACGTTGGAAGTAATTTTTCCCCTCATTGTTGGCTGTTCTCAAATATAAATAATTGTAATAATTTGACAAGTCATTCAACCTTTAGTTGTACAGGTTAGTCCCACTGAGCCTCAGGGACTCATTTACAAGAGAGACCTGGTTTTAACAAAGTGACGACAACTGGACAATCATAAAGGATGCGTACAAATTGAGATTTTATTTTTTTTATAAGCGAAAATAAAATGGTATTTAAAATAAAATGTAACCCAAAAAAAAAAAAAACAGCCAGATTATAAGGCAGTGTAGAAAACTGAAAACAGGAACATGTCTGCATTGGTTCTTGCCAGGAACTCAATAGATGTTTGAAGCCACTTAGAAAGGTCAAAGTCGAGAGCTTCAGATCTTTTTTCAAGATATTCCAGGAAACAGGAGCGGAGTAGAAGGCCCTTTTACCTGGTTCAGTTCTCTGAGGGAACACTGCAGGTAATAATGTCCTGAGAGTGCACGCTGTAGCTGCACTCATGCAGAGACATGTAGGAGGAGATGTATGAAGGCAGCAGACCAAGAAGGCATTTAAAGATGAAAATGTACTAGAGAGAGTCTACGTGAAGTTAATGATGTCCAGTTAATCAGTGAATAAAGGGTGGTGGGTACGATAGTTACAGCCATGAATCTTAGTGCACCATGATAGACAGCAGCCAACATCTGCAGGGTTCTTGTAGGAGCGTTCATGTAAATAATGGCACTGTAATCAATGGAGGGAAGGAAAGTCACAGTTACAAGGCGTTTCTTAGCGTTCAGTTAGACAGGATCTGTTTCTGAAAAAGAAACCCAGTTTAACTTTCAGTTTCCTATAGGTTTTCCACGTGGAGCACACAATGCGCATACATGTATATTGTACTTCTGGTTCGGTCAAACTCCTGCCCTTTAACAGGTTTTAATCTGGACTGGCCTCACCTCAAATATATATAAACCATAAGTTCTTGTAACGAACTTAATTCCTGCCCCTCAAAGAAAACACGAACCATCCGTAATTTAAATACAATTCTGTAATGTTTATTTTCAGTTTGAATTATGATGTGAAAATTATGGCAAATGTTGAATATGAATATGAACCAATAATATTATTTTAGAAAGTAAATAGCATAAATCTGAGGACTTTGAGAAGGGGTTTTAATTCAACTTGGACTAAGGTCTAGCTCTTAATGTTAAAATTTAGTTAAGTTTATCTCAGATTCATGAATTAAATTATCTAAACAAACTTAGTTGGCACTGTTTCGTGGTCCTCTCATCAGAAGGAAGATGTTCATCTCTCATTACCTCAGCAGATGCATGAAGGAAGCTGGTGGCCCGCTGTCCCAAGAAGGATGT